ATCCCTAACGTTCTGTGATTCTGTGAGTTTACTGCAGGGCATTAGACCTGCACTAAGAAGGCATTGTTATGGGTGCTGCTTTTTTGTGTTTATTAGATTAGCTACATTATTTGATTAAGAGTCATTATTCACTAAAAAGGTAATAAAAGAAAGAAAGAAAGCAGAAGAGAAAATATAAATATTAACCTGAGGTGACACCTTTATATTTGAGATGTAACTGAAGATAAATTCAAGGTTTAATTCAGGCAGACTTCTGTTGGTAACCCCTTCTTGTTTCTGTGTGCTACTCACTCCTTTGTCTTAGGAGGTTTGCAGGGATTATTAGAAGATGGCATTGCAAGATGGAAGGAAGCAGTGAGAAGAAGCAAACCTGAAATGGACACTTGACTCTGAGTTGTGCATTATCTGTAGTGATCTAAACTCTTTCTCAGGCTTTACCAGCCGTGTTGTTCAGGTCCATTCTAACTTTCTGTTGTGAAGATGGAAGTTGCTGGTGGAATATCACCTTCATGTTAGAACACCACTGATGAGAAGTGCATGCTGTACTGGCTTGTGGTGTTAGAGAAGGAAAAGTCTGGAAGTAAAGCCTCTTAGCCTCTCTTATGCATAACATACTTGTTTCACACTTAAGTGAAGAAAACTATAGGTAGAGTTGTAGTTAGTTGACACTAGTAAGTAAATTCCCCATTGTATCTACTGGCTTCACTTGCCGAATGTTTCATATATCTTTCTATTTAGTTAGCTTAAATACTCCAGTAATAAGCAACAAAAGGATTCCTTGTGGAATGAAACACCTACCTATTCAAAGTAATGCAAACAGTCAATGTTTTGTATTGAGTGCTGTGGTTTTGAATCACAAATTTGATGCCTTGCAGATAAAATCTGTGATCAAATCAGTGATGCTGTACTAGACGCCCATCTCAAACAGGACCCAAATGCCAAGGTTGCTTGTGGTAAGTTGTTTGGTGCTTTGCTTTAAGTTGTCACCCAGTCACTGTTCTTTTTTTATGATGTTTGCGCAGAGCTTGATGCTATCATGTGCTAACTCTCTTTACTCTCAAAAATTACATAAGAATTACAGTCTTCAAAAGAAGAAGAGATGAGAAGAAACAATCAGAGTTTTTATAAAGACTATTTATAGACTATAGACTTTATAAAGACTTTTGTAAAGAAGTCTAAGCCAACTGTAGAAGGGTAGGATAGTTAATTTTGCGTGTGGACTGAATTTTCCTGAGAGAAACAGATTTGACTTCATTACAGTAGATTTTTGAAAGAATGTCTGAATGTTTTGTTGAAAAGTTCATTTACTATATTTAATAAACTACTAATTTTTCAGTTGAAGTCCCTATAACTGCTTGGTTTTTGAAATCTCTTCAGAAAAGGTTGTGCCATCAACTCTCAGGTCGTTACTCCAATTGATGTATTATGTAACTAAATGCCATCTTCAGATTCTTCCTCCCAGGAGTGGAGGCAGATTTTCAAACTAGTTGATCATTGATGAGTTTTATTTAGCCTTAGTATGTATCTTAGAATGCTAAGGATTAAGTGGATTTAGAAATGATGGCTGAATGCTACATTTCCCTAAAATCTGTGCATATCACTGAATCATGCTCAGTGTTTAGACTTATTCATTTATAAATTGGACATATAAGTCCCTTACTTTCAGATATATGGTGAATACATAAAGAATTTGTTGTGGAAGGAGCTAATAGTGCTAAAAATATGAGTAGAAAGCACTTACACTGTATATACGCAGTAGATCTCTCAAAATCGCTGTTATTACAAATATAGTTCTTTGTCTTAGTGGTCTGGGTTATTCTGCCATTGTAATCCTGTTTTCATTTCTCTTTTCAGAGACAGTATGTAAGACAGGAATGGTGTTGCTCTGTGGTGAGATCACATCTCATGCTATTGTGGATTATCAACGAGTTGTCCGAGATGCAATTAGACATATTGGCTATGATGATTCAGCTAAAGGTTGGTGGAAAAACTAATTAAAATCTTCAAAAGCAAGCAATGGGCAACTGCAAAACAGATCGGTCACCACTTTTATATATGGGCTTTAGCAAGCCTGATAAAAACTCAATATCCTGTGTGAAAGCTGCTTACATGGTACCACATGATACGCTTTCTGCCTTTATCCCAGTAAGTAGGAAAAACATCAAGTATTAGTTAAAACTGAAAGGTAGTAGACAGAATATATTTTGAAATGTGGTTTTAGGCCAGAGTAGTTAACTGCAAGTTGAGCCACAGAATCTACCACTTCTCCAAACCTGTGAGAACTCAAATCTTGATTATTCATTTGGCAAACCAACTGATGTGTCCTGGTGCGAAAGAGAGGTAAGAAGAAACCTAGTTCATTGTATTGTAACATAATACACATGTACTGTGGTGGCATCTAGAATTCCCAGCTGTAAAGCAGGTTCTCACTGTGCAAGGTGCTCTGTTAGCTCTGAACAAATCCTACACTGAGGACTGTGCAGTCCAAATCCAGTTTGTGTAATATACAAATAATAAAAAAGACAAACTGGTTTTTATACCAGACTCATTTCACCTTCTGATTTTGCCATGTTTATAGATTACAAATATTTCAATATAGTAGTATATTCCATAGTAGTAGTATGGAATATACTACTTAAAAGAGGGTGAAGAGCATTCTTCAAATGGAGCATATGCATATGGACATGTACATATGTTGTATTGGCTGAACATGAGTTTGGTCAGCAGCTGCCAGTAGCTGCAGTTTGGATTTGGAGAGAGGCAAGTTACTATTAATATACCTAGAAACAGGTGGAGAATTTTGCCACAATCTTCTGTAAGTCTTTCAATTTCTTTTTAAAACCTTCCTTTTGGTGTTTAAAAGTAACATAAAGTAAATTCCCACTTCCAGATTTTCTGTGAGACTTAAATCTGTTTTTTTCTCTGTGGCTCTCACACAAACTCCCAGAGATTTAGGTACAGGTGCTGCTTTACATGTATTACAAATAATGTATCGGAGAACAGAGCCTTCAGTTGCTGAAAACATCAGCTCCTATGAATTTACATAGAAGTTTTTAATACCACTTATTTGGGAGAGAGTGATTATTTACTTTTTTGACTATTTTTCTGCAGTTAACATTTCATAATCTGAATTACCTTGGCACAGGGTGACAATGCAAGAGAAAACAAGCAGTAAGAAGCATTAAAGGCAACCCAGTATGCCCCATCCTCTCCCAATAAAGTTTTTAAGTGTTGTATTGACAAAAAATTAACTAAAAATAGCAGTTAGATTGTGAGTTCTGAATGTGGTATCTTTCAGAATGAACATTTTGTTATATGGTGCCATGTTACTTCCCTTAATTGTGACAGAAAAAGCTAATTTGCCACTATTCTTTTTTTCCAAATAGGCTTTGACTACAAGACTTGTAATGTTTTAGTGGCACTGGAACAGCAGTCACCTGATATTGCCCAAGGTGTTCATCTACACAGGAATGAAGAGGATGTTGGTGCTGGAGATCAGGTACACATGACATCACATCTGAAACACCAAAGCTGTTTGAATGGAAAGTTTACCCTATCTCATTGCTCTGTTTTCTAAATCAAAACTCATGTGAAGATTTCCACTCCTTCATCTTGGGCTAGCCTAGAATAAAAAGCATATTTTTATTGAAACAGTTGGAAGTTCTTTGAGGGCAGGCTTTTGCCTGGTGTTTGTTACAGCACTCCATGCAAGTCAGGAGAGCTCTGTCAGTTTGTAGTAGCTGAGGATGTGTCCTTTAGAACTTAGCAAAGGCTTTTGACTTGTGTATTTCATGTTTTTATTGAATAGCTTTAGACTCACTAGAGCATTCATCTTGCAGCTAGACTTGTCTTGTAAGATGGACTAAGCAAAGGCGCTTTTTGCTTTCACCGAGCTTTTGAGATTATACACAGCAAAAAATTAGGTGATGTTTCAACTGTCTGCAGCATTAGTACAACGAAGGCAAATATCCCAGGGTACTTTTAATTCTCACTTATTTCCTGGAGGCAACCATTGTAATAGTTGTTCCAAATAATTAAAACTGTCCAAGCTGCATTTCTATGAGTTAAATAACATATGTGGATAATTATGGTGTGTTCCCAGAAGAAAGATGCTAACATAAAAACTCCATAATGTGACTGATGCCAGTATGAACGAGTTTAGCATTTACAGTAGTTATCGTTAGTAGTAATATCTAGTTTATAACAGTGCTGTTGAGAACCATAAGTGGAGATATAAGAGTCCAGGAGCCAAGCTAATATTGTTCAAAAAACCCTTGAGGAATAAATTAAAATGCTTTTATGCTGTCATGGGGACATAATACTACATAAGATGAAAATATATCTGACTTTCTGTGGCACTTTGATGACCTCCCTTCCCATTGCATCTAAGTACCTTCCTGTTTTTTCTTTTTTCTTTTTTCTTTTTTCTTT